CGTCCTGGCAAATGATGCAGCATGCCTTATTCGGCCCGAAGCAGGTCCCGCAATAGTCCTCGGGTCGGGATTGTGCTGGGTCATTGATCCACCTAGGCAGGCGACTGAGGGAACTTTCCTCAAAACATGCGACAGACGAGACATCAGCAGGACCAGTAGGTCAGCATTCTCGGCGCAGCCATCACTCCCGCACAGTTTGAGCGACAATACAAGAGGCGCGGCTCGAGATTCGGTCGCGTGGGGGGGGGGGGGGGGGGCGCCGTGAATACTTAACCTCCGGCCGATGTTAGGGGTGGTGGAAAGAGGGCTCGCCGGCGCCCATCTCGCCTTTGTCCAGGCCGACGACCTCGGCTGGTTGACGGACGCAGGACTAAAAACAGCAACCACAGCGTTGTAGTTGTATTTTTTTCTTTGGTTCGGTACGGTTCGCTCGGCTCTTCGAATCGAACCGGCTGCTGTGTGGGCCATTCGAGCTTGGGAAACGTCACAGCCGGTAGCGTGGCAGCCAGTTTTTGGGTGGTCGATGTTTTCTTCTTCTTCTGCTGCTGCTGCTGCTGCTGCTACAGAATCACCTTTTTGCTACATACTTCTGCCCCATCTGCCTCCACGCCCCCCCGAGACAGACAGACAGACAGACAGACAGACTCTCGGCATCCGACATCGCCCAAATGGTCCGTCTACGCCCGAGAGAGCAAAGCCAACCACAAACACACACCCATCGATTGTCACCGGTCTTGAGCGAGAGACACACGGGCGGTAGTGCCTTCGGAGACTATAGAGCGACATGCCTGAGAGAGAGAGAGAGAAAGATAGCGACCCTATAGTAGCGCAACTGGGTGTCTCCCGCGCTCGTATAGTCAGCCACTCTCACTCGCTCGATACTAAAACTCTACCTCTCGTTCTTCTCGTCGCTGCTTTTGATGCTCTCGCCGATCGGACCAACGGTGGCTTGTGTTGGGATAAGATATCTAATCTAGTCCCTGCAGTGGTGGTATATATTTTGGCTGCCTTTCTGCCCTTTCCAGGAATCTTCCCGACGTCGTTGTCTCTCCAAACTCACACACTATTTGACAACTGCGTGTCGCTTCCATGGAAGTCGTATATAGCTTCCATGGAGGTCAAATGCGACTTCCATGGTACGATAAAAAACGGGAGTTTCATGGAGGTTACAGGGACGTCCACGGACAAACATGGATACAAGTATGTTCATGTGCGACTTCCTGGAAGGTTGGGCTTCTTCGTGTTCAACAGGCTTCCACGGAAGTTTCATTTTTCGCGAAGTCAAGTCAAATGGCTCCCACATGACAGTTTCCATGGAATCAAAACGGAATCTGGCGCCAGAACCCGACCAACGGCTTCCATACAGCTTCCATGGAAGCTTGTACAACGGTATGTCAAAGAGTCTATAATATATAACCGAATAATCTGGAACCTACTGCAGTACCCACCTTTGCCCTTATCGCTGCCATCTCGTTCCTGAGGTCTCCCGCAGTCTTGTAGTCCTCCTCCTCCACCGCCCTGCGCATGCTGCGCTTGATCTGAACAAAAAAAAAGCTGGTCAGCATACAACGCTAGAAATGAACTAATTGCTTATCTATCCGACTCTATTATCTGTGGAAGAGATGAATTTGGTGCAAATAACAGCAACAAAAGAAAAGAAAGAGACATGGATACATGGGGCTTACGCATACACATCAAAGCAGCCATAGAACCCCCCAGTACCACACCACGGACTTCGTATCTACGCAAAACACGACTACACAAAAAAAACTGCTGTGGTTACATGTGTTCTTTCGTGTTGTACATGCCGACCATCCCAGTTTCTCTTCTGGATATGGACGCATTTAGTTCAACGTGGTCCTGCTGTGATTGAATGTATATGCGCAGCGCTTGCTGTCGAGAGCGAAGGACGACCCCCCACAACGGAGGGAGGGGAAGGATTGCCATCAAAGTCCTTGCTTTGCTCGCAAGTTCCACAGCGCCGCCAAAAGCCGACGCGCACGTCAAGTCAGGTCGCGCAGACCCACGGATGAACACACGCACATGCTGATGAGGGACGCGCGGGTTAAAATAGCGACGGATAGTCTAAAGGCTGCGACGACAAGACCTCAAACATATTGACAAGCCAAGGTTACGAAAGGGATACGAGACCGCACATCAAGTACATCCAGGGTCCTCACTCAGTAGCTCAATGGTGCGGTACACCGGCAAGGTAAAAGGAAACCCACTACGACTGCGGGACCCCGGAATATTTCGGAGCGGGGATGTATCGGTATAGCTTTGGTCGACAAACCCCGCGTCCCAGAGATTTGTGACCGCACGCTATATTTTATCGTGCCCCCACCACTTCATCGGGTCCCCGCCCTATCGAGGGGCTGCGATTGCTGTAGCCGAACCTCTACTACAAATAAGATACAATACGATGTTCACATGACTTTCAACTTTGTGAGCATCCTTGTTAACGGATGGGACTGTACGAGAAAAATCACGCCGAACATCGCGAAAAAGAGAGGAGGCTCGTGACATGCATAGTACCCCAATTACTCCACGTGATCGTGTATAATCTGCGTGCCCCCCTGCTTCTGAAAAAGAAGTCCGTCCGTGCTACAATGTGCCTCCTGAACGGACATTCGACGGTATTGCTGTGTGTACGTAGGGTCGGGATGCGGTCAACAGTCGACACCTCATTTCGTATTTTTTTTCCCGTTTACTCTGCACGTCATGACACCTTAACCTTAGCTTCTCGACGCAGCAGCCATGGTCACACCAGAGGAATCAACGCAATACAAAATTTTCTTCTCCGCCTTCCTTCCGAGGCGCTTGCCTCAAGTTCTATCGCGATAAAAGGGCCAAGCCGTTTCTTTTCCCTCGTCGACCGTGAAGCCGGATTTTCGGCGAGATGAAAATCATTCACACATGCAGCAAGTATCCCACCAGGGTTGTTATCTATCGCATGCATTGGGCAGACTTCACTTCTCAAACTTCCGAGAAGTCGACATGACTTACGGTTTTTATAGTTTTGTCTTGACGAAAACGCAAGGACTCCGTTTACGCGAAGAAAAAAACAAAAAAAAACGTCAAGCCTCAGAGCAGTCTACAGAATGCTCGCATGCACTCGGGGGGGGGGGGGGGGGGGCCCCCCCCCCAAAGTTCTCCCCCTGGGAAACCCCCCCCCCCGGGGGCCCAAAACCCGGGCTTAAAAACCCTTTTTTTGCCTCCCCCCCCCTGGAAAGGGGGGATTTTTATTGGTTAACCGGGCGAGGCCAGAAAAAAAAAAAAACCCAAACCCCCCCCCCCCGGGGCCGATTTTCTCCCCCTGAAAAGGGGGGGAACCCTTTCGGGGAAAGGGGGGGGGCCCCTTTTGTTTGGTCGGTTGTGACCCATTTCGTATGGTCGGCTGTGACCCATATCGTTTCTTCACCCGAAAAAGTCGTCGGTGCGGGCCGGAGCTTGACAAAAAGCTTACACAAACCCACGTACATGAAGCGAAATCCATCTCCACACAGCACTCGCACCTTGTTAACATTGGAGCGCATATCCCGCAAACCTTCCAGGTCCATCTCCAGCCCCTCCCCACCCCCCGGCAGCACCTTTTTCACCATGGCAAACCCTTCCCTCTCCGTCAGCGGCGCCTCTCTTCGCCTACCGACGATGCCCCTGCCCCCCACCTCCCCCACGGGGCCCCCGCTACCGGGAACACTACTACTCGCGCTGTTGATGCTGCTTCGCACGCCACCGCCTTGTCCCTCGCTGCTCGCCGTGACCGGTGCTGATTGGTCGGCTTCTGTCCCGCCGGCATCCCTAGCGCCTTCATCTTCTGTTCGAGCGACTGGCGCGGACTCTGGCAGCCGGCGAGGATGTTTCCGTAGGGGGGGGGGGGGGGGGCGTACTCATTTGTTGCTTGGCCGTAGTCATTTGACCATTGACCACGCGTCCCTTTCGAGACGGAGCACCGTTCCTACACCTACTCGAGACACCACCAACAATTGGGAGCTCTTTACGTTTCTGCCACAAACTACATAAAAATTTCTTGCACATCTTATCCCCGTCCTCTAGGGCCTCTTGTGCCCACCATCTATCCCCAATTGTCGCGATCGTTTTTTCGCTGTTGTCTAATTTACCAAACTTGTCCATGTCACATCCTCTCTGTCTCATTTCCTCCTCGAGATCCTCTCTTTCCTTCCTGTACAACTCACACTCCCCAACTATGTGGGGTCTACTCTCCTCCGATTTGCCACATGGACATGTGTGTCTATCCTCCTCTTCCTCTCTCCTACGGCTGGTATACCTCTTCCTCCGTTCTGGCAAGTCCAGATCGCCTACTCGAAATTGCAATTTCAGCTTTTTCGCATAGTCCATGGGGCCGTCCAAGTACGTGTTCATCCCTATCCCTTCTTTCAACTTCCCGTATATCTCCAAGTGGTCTTCGCTTCGTACCTTCTTCCGAAGGGTTGCCTCCTCCCTACTTTCTAGCATCTCCTTGACTTTCGTCTTGAACCCCCCGAACCCTTCCGTGTCCAACGTCTCCTCCTCGTCTCCTATCTCCTTCCAAACCTTCTCTACCACATTGTCCCATCTGATTCCCTTCTTTCCTGGAGTCGCTTTTCCCCAAGTCCGTAGGGGGGGGGGGGCGTACTCATTTGTTGCTTGCCGTAATCATTTGACCATTGACCACGCGTCCCTTTCGAGACGGAGCAGGGGGGGGGGGAAAACTCATGTAAACGCTTGCCGTACTCGATGATAGACCTTGAGTCCCTACAATGCTGGGACGGGGTAATATGCCGGCGGCCAAGGAGAACACGTCGCTTCGTGTGTGATACTGTACGCTTGTTGGAGTATAATCTGCTTTCGTAGATGCTTCACGACGGGGGGGAACATTTGTTGGTCCTGCAGGACCGATCGCCGATGTCCAATCGTTCCTTCCTATGCATACTTTACGATCACTTCTCGCCTAGAGGGAGGGGTTACTATATTGGTTGTCGACTTCACAAACGGATACACAACATACACAGAAGCGGGTGGGTGTGCGCTGATATGGATACGGCCAAATTCAATCCCCGGAAAGTTACTACTGACAAGGTGTAACGGCGTCCCAGGCGGTAGTACCCCTTGTCCCTGTAGTTCCGCTGGCCAGGGAATACAAGGGGCCAGGGGGAGAGAGGGTACCCTCTAAAACTTCCTTCGCATGAAGAACAATACTGGTTTGGTAGGGCCGTGGTGCTGTCTTCGCACGCGCCCCACCCCCCACGAAACCACGGCAACACGCAATGGCCCCTTCCCATCCTGTCTCTCCTCTACGCGGTATGGAAAACGTCGGCGAACGTCCCGTCAGCAGCGCGGCAAAGGTATTCATAGAGCAACAACAAGAACTCCATACCCCCCCCCTCCCCCAGCCCCAACACAACCACCAACGATGCATGGACCGCTGCAATTACCACGGCAATAACAGCAACAAGGTTGGGGACGCAACCCAAGCCCTTTGCTCACCTCCACCGTCACCAACAACCTCCCCCTCCATCTCGCACCCCCCCCCTTCCCCCGCAGCAGCCATCATCATCATCGCCAGCCTCCCGACCGAAGATGTGCGGTACGGTAATCGCCTGCCTACCCGGGGCTGCGAAGCGAACGTCCCCGCTCCATTCCCGCCTCCATGCCGTGACGACAGCACCCGGCAAGACCTTGCAGCGGCGGGGGCGGCGGCGGGTTTGCTGGGCGCGTGCAGCGACGGAGCCCCTGCGCAGCAATCAACGGCGGTGCCGGGATGTTCATCAGCACATTGTGTGGTGCTGCAGCAAAATCAGTGCGTGATCACGTTTCGTGTGCAGCCTTGATTTGTTGGCATGTGTAGTGTGGCAGCAAAAGCAGTGCGCGATCACGGCTTGCATGCAGCCTTGATTGATACGGCACACACGTCCTTCCCGCCAAGGAGGCTCAGGGGGAGCCGACAGCGGCGGTATCATCACCCTCTCCTTCTGGCACTACTCTTGCGTCGCCCCTTGAGCTCTGCCAACGCAAAGGCGCCTGCTTCCTCGCCCTCGTCAATGCCTTTGCGAGGAAAGGGTCTGCCTGCCGCCGCTGTGGCGCATGTCTTCTTTCGCGCGCACGAGGTCATCGGGTCAGCCACGGGACGGCACCGCGGCAGAGCTGCCCGAGCTCACCAATCCGAGTCTTTTCCAACGCCAACAAGCCGTGCGTCAACGCTGTCCCCACAACCCACTGCACGTGTTTGTACTCGCAATGAACGACTGATGTGCCTCGACAGCAATGCGTCCCAGCCCCGGCACATCACGACCGAATGTGCGGCACGGGGCATCCTACAGGCTGCCGGGCCAAGTTTGCGCCGAGAGGCATAAGGCCACGGTGAGTCAACAACCAAGGTATATACGACCGCTCGAGCTACGTGATATGCGTAGGTATGGCACTCGGCTACGGCGTGTATGCCAGAGAGACTGCTGTACAGGCCGGGTGAGAGGAATTGAGAAAGGGTGGGCCACAAGAGGTTATCAACACCAATCGCTCACCTGAGTACCAATGGTACTGCTGGTCGACGGCCTCTTCTGGTTCGGTGCCTTGCTGCTCGCCGCCGCTGGTGCCGGGCACCATCGGCGGCGAGCAGCAAGGCGCAGGCCAAGAAGAAGCTGTTGGCCAGCATGGCCATTTGTACTCAGGTGAGCGACTGGTGTTGATACCTGTTGTAGCCCACCCTTTCTCAATTCCTCTCACCCGGCCTGTACAGCAGTCTCTCGGCGCAGTACTGGGCAACTTGGCCCAGCCGCCCTGAGGATGATGCCCGTGTCGTACATCCGGTCGTGATGCCTTTGTTCGTGACGAAATTGGGACACATTTGGACTTCGGCGCGACAAAACTAAGGGGAAAAAATGCGTCCAACTCCAGCATGACAAAACACATCACGATCAGTTGCATGTCACGGCCATGACAGCCCGAAGGATGCCCGTGTCGTATGAACATCCGGTCGTGATGCCTCTTCCGTGTTGCAGTTAGGCCGCATATGGACTTCGCCCCGACAGGCTCCGAAAAAATACCATCCCAACTCCAGCAAAATAAATGCACCACGCCCCGATGAGCGGCGCGGCCATTCTTTGGGCTACCGGCAGCGCCAAGGACGCCCGTGTAGTGCATCCGCTCGCGATGAATTTGTCGTGCTGGAATTGGGCCGCATTTTTGGAATTTGTCGGGGCACAGCAGTCGTTCGTTCATCGGGACGTACAAACGTAGCGTAGGAGGTTGGGGACAGCGTTGTTGACGCACGGCTTGCTGGCGTTGGAAAGACTCGGATTCGTCAGTCCCAGCTCGGGCGGCTGGTCGGTCTCAGTGACGGTTGCAGTCCAGATCTCATGGATCGAGATCCTCAGTGTGTGTGTTTTCCACGAAGCGTTGGCCGCGCTAACCGGCTGACCACGTGAGAACACGCCAGTCTTCGAGTATGTGTGTACGGGTTACAATACAGGGGTGTTGACAAGCCGTTCTTGCACGCGTAAGACGCCTCATGATAAAGGGATCCCACGCGGTCCATACAGCAAGCACCAGGGATGTGTGATTGTGCTTTTAAAGAGCATCGGCCGCGCTAGACGGCTGACCAATGAAAAGATGTCAAGTCTTACAAGCGGGATAAAGAACGCGCGAACACGCTTCTCAAATGAACGCGTTTTCCGACAGGGGTGGTGGGGCAGGAGTTGCACCAAAGCTGTAGGCCCTGCTTATCTAGTACCAAGGACAAGACTCAGTACCACCAGGTAGATGTGATGCTGCATCATCTCTTTCTGCCATGCTACTAGCATCATTGCTGTCCTGTGCTGGGTTGGTTTCTATCCGGCTTTGCTTTGCGCTTGGGAGAGATTTGCTAGTGCTATTTAGCTTCCATCACATCCCGTACATCTTTCTTGGGACCCTCCCTGCTGTGAAGATCGGAAGGATCGGAGCCCTTGCTTTCTTCGACACCCTTGTCTCTGGTCTTGCTTCCATCTTCTTGCATACATATATGTAGGTGGGTACTCCTCCTCTTCTCCTTGCGATCCATTGACAACCCCCGTCGTTTGGGCAGTCCGCAGTAGTCTACGCAGGTTGCCGGTTGCCACCAGAACGGTCTTAGGTTGTAGGTAGGTTAGGAGCTAATCTCACCCCGCAATCTCCGAAGCACTCACGAGTCCGCTTTACGTGTGTGTCTACCGCCGTGGGGCACAAGCGATGAAAACACCGGAGGCGGCCTGTCTCCAACAAAAGCAGCGCGTCCTTGGAATTCCTCCGGGTACCAACAAGTCGCCTGTACAACTTTTAACCTTCAACCGCCAACGACGTATCTAGCCTATCAGGAGCATCAGTAGCAGCACTGCCAGACACACCAAACGGCGGTACAGACTTGGCGTGTGCATGTGTCAGGGCACACAACAGCGGGGTGCCCTGTTTTTCCCTGGGTAAAGCAGGCTGTGAGATAACAGCAGAACCCCCGTTGAAGGGGCGAGAACAGTTAGCACGTATTTATTAACAGGGTGACGCTGTTATTGCCGAAGGAAACACATCTGGTTGTAGCTGTTTGTGTTCGTACATACGAGTACTGTCTGTACAGTAGAAGCGCACGTGTTCACATGGTAAGAGAGAGCGGGTTCATGAACGATAGCAGCCATCTACGTAACAGGATGTAGCGAGTGAAAGGGAGCACACACTACGCGTCCTATGGAGCACGCTCTGCATGGGCCATGCTACCCTTCACAGGGCACACACGGAGCGCTCGTTGAGCGAGGCAGGACTGAGCAGAGTTGCTGTAGATGACGTGGGAGCTGCTGTGCAGCGCGGTAACTCAAACGCTGGCAGCAACGCCCGCCACATGCAAGGCAAGCGCGAGGACGACGACACAACCGCGCCAGTCAACAGACAAGCCTGCGGGATGTCGCAGGGTGCACAGGGAGGGGAGGGGGGCTACAGAGTCCCCATCAGCCTCAGAGCAGTACGGCAACAACAGCGCGGCGGAGAGCCCGCATGACACATCATCAGGGCAATACTTTGCTTCGTGAAAACACTCACCCGCAGAAGGCCCCGCCAGCTGCACGGGGCCCAAGAAGCCAGAGCAAGGCGCGAACGCACAGATCATCGCAGCCACGGTTCTCGAGGCCATCCTGAGCGCGCGCGAGGTTCCACGACCTGCGTGAAGTGCGCGAGCTGCTCGTATGCAATCTAGCTGCTATCTCACACAGGAGCACCGCGGAAAAGGTTTCAAATGTCTCAGGTGGCGTTATCGAACACTGAGGAAGGCATCCCCGACCACGGGCCCTCGACCCTCGACCGTTCGGCTCAACAACAACAACTTGACAAACCTGACATCTGCGTTGAGAAGGGGCGGGGGGTACGATATACAGCAGTGCAGGTCCGGCCTGTCTTTGGCAGCGGGAAAACCCTGCCCCTGATTCTGTCTCGTGCTCACACGCAGGCTTGGTGGCAGCAGCGACAGCACGCGCGTTGGTCTTTTACCGCTGCTGGCATTTTTTCCCAGCGTGCCACCTGCAACAACAGCAATCATCTTCGGCCGCCGCTGCTCAGTGCAGCATGGACGCTACCGCCGTAGACAGCGGGGAGGCTAAACTGGAAGGCGTTGACGAGGCGCCCTGCTACTACCCGACCACCGCGCAGTTCGCCGAGCCTCTGGAGTTCATCGCCTCTATCAGGCCCGAGGCGGAGCGGTACGGGATATGTCGAATCTGCCCGCCACCAGGCTGGAAGCCAGCCTTCGCTCACAAGCCGGACAAGCTCAAATTCGCCACGAAGGAGCAGGATCTGGTAAGTTTAAAGTTTGCTTCCAATGGCCTGTTGCCCATTATATTCCACACACACGGACCAGGAGTACAGCTAGAGCAGTGGTACAGAGAGAGGACAGCAGTAGTAGCAGTGCTTGCATACCTTTTCCGCTGCATAGCGTCATCACGACAGGCCTGTCTCTCTCTCGGCCGCCGTCCATTTTTTTTTGCGCGAAGAGAGAAACACCAACAACATTTTTGTGTGGAGGGACCAAGAATTAGAGAACCCACGCGCCTGCGGTCGCACGTTCTCCGAGACGCACGGTACAGCAGTTTTCGAGCAACGAACCAAGCTACGACCACCTCGGTAGAACTTTTACTAGTTACGCTCCCCCCCTCCTCTCTCTCTGGCTCCTCCCCCGAAAAGCTAGGCATTTGGGGGAAGAGGAAAAAGAATGAAGCTCTTGGTTGGTCGAATACTGTTCAAGTGCAAGTGCAGTGCTCCACAGCAGCGACGTCCACAACAGCTTGATTGTCACCTCTCTGTGCTGCGACGCAGCAAGCATGGTATCTGCACCCGGGGCAATAGTGTACGGACATGCCTTAACGGCTGAAATGGCATGGTATGTATGTCTATCTTGGGATGGGTGGTATGGTTACCTCAATCCCTGGATACCCACCCCGTCCACCGATGATGTGGTTTTGTTGTGGGTATGCACAACCTTCCGTACCATGCGGCGTTCCCCATGACAGGTGTTGAGACACACACACACGTGGGGTTTGTATGTTTGTATGCGTACGTGTACCAACCACGCTTGGCTGATATACATACCCCGCCACGAGGATCTAGTAGCATGGAGGCCCGAGACAGGTGAGGCTATGCTAGGAGGGGGGACAATGGGGTTGTTGAGAATCTGATTCCATGGCAAAGGCAGAACGACACCAAAACGCATGATCGATCTGACGACAACAATTTTTCGTCTTGTTTCGCAAAAGCCTTGTGATAGTGATACCACTCATTCCCAAGACTCCCTTGTTGCTGCTAACGCGTGCGAGCTGTATTGTATTCGAAGGACGGGAAATTTGACGTGGACTGAGATTTGTTCCACTCTTGGTACAGCAGTGCCGCCGTAATATGCGTATCATACGCGTGGTAGCGCGATTTACAGAGTCTGACTCGCATCTTATTGAAGTTTGACAGCCATACCTCGCGGTTCCAAACGCTTCGGTATTGTGTAATCATCAGTCCGTATGCATACCCTACCACCTCTACACCGATTCCTAATATGCCACAGACTCGTGGGCCCATAGCCCCCCTCGTGCCACCTCCACCACCTGCCGTTGCACAGCCCTAAGACAGCGCTACTTCTAGATATTTAGGCGTATATACCATGGGGTAGATGTTTTATTTATCCGCTTGTTTCGCAGAGGAAAATAAAAACAGAAGCCCTTTGCGTTGTATGGTTCTCCTGTTTAGTGGGCAAGAGCTGCTGCCTCCTCTCTTGAACCGGCGCGCACCACAGACATGACCAGAATTTCGCGTTCGCCCGGCATGCTTCCCTGTAAGGTTCCCTCCCTCCCTCATTCCGTCCTCTATTGTTTCCACAATGCTGATGTCTCGTGGATACATGCGTGGTATGCAAAGGCATGCATACATGTGATACGGGTGCCTAGATGATAGCGCTACCCGTTTTTTTCTTCTCCCGGAACTCATGTTTTGTAAAGCTCCTGTATACTTCCATCTGATAGGATACAAACCGAGAGCGCAGGAAATTAGCAGGTTCTAAATTGTGCGGCATGGCAGCGCATTGCAGCGCAGGAGGGAGAGCTAAACACCTGATTTCTCGGGACATGGGAAGCTTGTTGTACCCACCAGATGATGAGCTCTTGGTGAAAGAGCCATGTCTCACTCCGTGTTCGTACGTTTGGTCCCCGGCGCACCTCACGCAATGGCTAGCGCCCCTCTCATGCATGCATCACACGGGTTGCGTCTCAAGAAGCGTTGTTTGGCACACAAGCACACGAGCCTTCTGTCGCTAGATACCGTTGCTGTATTTAAACCGGAATGGTTTTTAGCCCCCCCCTCGACGCCCCCCTCACGGGGGTCCCAGATCATGAAGGCTTTTTATTAATAGAAGCATTTCCTGCTCTCAGCCGCACTGATACTGACGTATTTTCATTGGTGAGCCGGTTAGCTCGGTCGGTGCTAATAACAAAGACACACACGAGCCTCAGACAATCCACCCGGCGCCGCCGTGCGTTCCCCGCCTCATGTGTACGCCCCCTTGATACGCAGGGAAAGCTGGCGGGTGGGCAGCGGCTGAGGCGAAAGTTCACCGAGAACCTGCGGAAATTTCTGTTCCTGATCGGGAAGCCGATGGAGGCTGCCCGCGGGGGAAAGGTGTTCATCGACAGCCACAACAGCAGCCACGGGTGCGTTGGGTTTGGGCCAAGAGGGCCTGTCGTCTTATTTTTGTCAAACATGCAGAAGTTAAAGTTTGTGTGTGTTGTCTCATCTCCTTTCAGTATCTGGATGTGAGTCTTTACACACTCTCTTTTCTGGGCGCACAAGCCGGGTGGGGTCACGCAGAAGCATTGCCGGTTGTTCTTGTATACCGGAGGTGGTAGTGACATGGGAGATAAGAAATACTGTTTTTACCGCTCCAGCTGTGGGGTGAAGTCCAGGTATGGATGGAGTATCGAAGCGCCCAAATGATTGGCAACTCGGCGTATCTTTGTCGTTCTCCCTCGTCTTCGCCTTCGACTGATATTCCTTGGTGACAACTATCTCCGATGCCGATATGTCCTCTCTCGTCTCTCTGTCTCTCTTTCTTCGTCTCTGTCTCTATCTCTTACCTCCCTCCCCCGCTCTCTCCCTCCATGTCTCCCGTCTCTACTTTTCTCTCTCTTCGTAGGTGTGGCCCGGTGGACATGTTCCGCCTCTTCAAGGAGGTCCAGAGGATTGGGGGTCACGAGGCTGTGACCCGCGACGGCGGCTGGGTGGCCCTCGCCGAGAGGATGGGGTTCGACTCGAAAGCCATTGGGCTGCAGGACGCCTACTGCACCTACCTCGCCGACTTTGAGGTGTTATACTGTGCTTATGGTACTTTTTTCCGGCCGTTTTTGCCCGCCAACGTTCATCTGCTGTGGGCGTTTGGCCTCCGTCTTTATTAGTATTCCGATGACCGCTTATTATCGATTTTTCGCAAACCCGGTGGTTTTTGCGTGGGATGGGAGGGGACCGGCATCTCGAATTTTGGTTCTACGGGTCGATGGGTCGCCCTGCATTTGTCGTTGACTCTGCTGAGGGCTGAACGTGTTGTTTAGTAGATCCCTCTCGCTTCGAACTGGCGGCGAATTTGATGCACAGCAGCACCAACAGCAGCAGCAGACATAGTTGTTGGAACCAAACACCCTTTGCTTCCACCTGCAAAGAGGTCTCGGTGCTACAATATGGCAGAGCTGCTCTAAAACGAATTTGTCAAGACCCTCGCTGGTGTCTTCCAAGCTCCCGCTCTAGATCATCGCTCCGTGGATTGTTCTTGGTGGCACCGGGGTTGGAACACGACAGGGATGGTGTATCCCAACCCTTCACGAAACTGCTGTTGCTCTCCCTCCTGGGCGGGTTTCTGCTGTTGGTGTTGTACAAGTTTGTGTTTTCTTCTTTCTCACGCGTGTGTGGTTCTATTTTTTGCATCGAGCGCGCTAACCGGCTGACCGATGTACCGACGTCAGTCTCAGTGCAGTTGACAGCAGAATGTGTTTTTTCTTTTATCTTCCTGGCCTTCCCTATTAGGCGGTCCACGACGGGAAGGGTTTGGACTTTGACGGCGTGGTCTACACGCCGACCGTCTACCGCGAAAAGCCCAGCGTGGAAGCCGATATCCGGGTGGGTATGACCCTCTGGCACTTCCTGGAGGAGGACCACGGTGCCGGCCGCTGCTATCACGGCACCGTGAAGGCCCTCCGCGGGGCGTCGAACTGCATCGTGGAGTACGACCTTGCCGAGCGCTTTCCCGAACCTCACGGACGAGACGGCTCTTGGGACGCCGCCGGCGGCGGCGGGGGCTCCGCAGCGGCGAGGGGGGGGGGCAGCAGCAACGGGGATTCCGCGGTCGGCGGTTGGAGCGGGGCCGGGAGCCACTTGGACTCTGAGGGTCGTTGGTCGCGGAATTTCCGAGCGTCGTCGTGTGAAGAGGTGTGTGTGTGTGTGTGAGTTTTGCCCCCTGTGTAGCGTCGGACGTGCCCAAAGCTTGCCTCCCGACCATAGTTATTGATACTAGTGTTTTGTGGATGAGGTGAAGGCTTCGTTCGTTCTTGACTCATGGGGCATTCCTAGAACCAACCCAAAAGCACATTGCACGCTTTCATCGTGAGAGAAGGGCGGCGGCCTTCCGCGGGGTTGGCGGACCCCTCCCTTGGTGCAGCACACCCTAGGGACCGCATCAGTTCAGTAGCGCCGTCGTGTTTCAGCATACCTCCTCTGCTCGTGCAACCACGGAATCCCTCGCCCTCGAACCTACTCCCCCCATTGCCCAACTCTCACCCACAGGTGGAGCCTTTCCGCGAGATGTTGCCGAGCGCCCTCCAACCGACACCCCCCCCTTGCCCTAAACTCTACCCACAGGTGGAGCCTTTCCGGGTGACGTTGCCGAAGACCCAGCTCTCCACCTTGATTCTCAACGGAAAGTCCCCCGCGGCCGCGAAGCTCGCGGCCCACGGGGTTGTGTGCGAGGTGTGCAGCATCGCGGCGGCGTCGAAGAATGTTCTCGTCGTTTGCGTCGCGTGCGACAGCGCCTATCACCTGGGCTGCGTGGAGCCGGCGCTGCCCAGGATGCCGTTTCACGACTGGTTCTGCGGGGATTGCGCAACGGTAATTTTTTCGATATGGCACTGTGGTCGTGTGTGTTGGTTGTGGTGTGTGGTGGCTGTCATGTGCGTTGGCTGTGGTCGTGTGTTTGCCGTGATGTGTGGTGGCCGTCATGTGGTCGTTGTTCGGAAGGTTTGAGAGGAGGTTTTGGAACGCAAGAGGGCGGGGACAGGGTGCTATTGTGATAGCCGAAGACGGCGTCAGGCTGACTTGGAGTGGGCGTGGATGAGTACTTTCGATGTAGCGGAGGAGAAGTGTTGCGTTTAACATCGGACCGTAATGAAGGGCCTCCTTGCTTGTCTCTATGCATACCGCCTCCCAAAACAGGCCTGTGTCGCTTGATTGCTACTGACCAGGGTCTTCGAACGGGCTCAATACCCCCCCAAACACCCACCCTTTTCTTCTGTCCCCCGCTGTGGCACACACACCGCCTCCGCCCCCGTGCTCCGGCAACAACCTATTACAGGACGGGAACACCGCGGAGGATCTAGCCAGGGGCCCCAGCGGGCTCTTCTCCTCTTCCACCTCTTCCCCTTCGCTCCCGTTCGTGTCCTCGCCGTCCCCGAAGAAGACGAGCAAGCACGTGGCAGCGGGCTCGATCTCGAAGCCGCCTTCGGTGTCCAAGCTACCGGCGGCGGAAGCAGCGGCGGCGGCGGCGGCGGAGGGAGGCGATACCTCCACTCCGGCTGCCGACATGCCCGGTGGGTCCGGCGAGAGCGACGCCTCAGCGGCGACCCCTGAAAAGCAGCGCGCCCCGGGCTCTGCCGTCGGGAATGACTCAGTAGGGACGAGAAAGCGGGCGGAGGCGGTGTCTCCTAGACCAAAACGGGCGGAATCCGCCGCCGCCGCCGCCGCCGCGCCAAGGGCGGAGAACGGTAAGTCGTCGGCCGGTGGCGGCGGGGGCCCCGCGGCGGCGACTAGCACGGGCGCAGGTAAGCACGGCGGTGGTGCCGCCGCCACCGCCGCCGCCGCCGCCGCAGCAGCAGCGACCTTGAATACGCCCAAGAAAGAGGAGGAAGAGGAGGACGGGAGTTCCAGCGAGGGAGGGGGTGCGGAAGGCGGCGCCAGCCTGTCGGCGGCCCGCATGCGAGGGGTGTCGCGCATGAAAGGACGGGCCCTCAAGTATGGGTTCGGCAACGGCGGCGTATTCACTTTGAAGGTGACTGGTGCTGTCGGGGTAAGGGGTTCCGTGGGAAGACGCGGCGTGACGCCTCCTTTTCTGAGGGCCATCTATGTATTGGTGCCTTGCCTGGAAAAGCCGCGGCCTCCCAGGAGGCATTTTGTTGCTGAGCGCCCTTTTTCCCCGGGGACCTTTGTTTTGCGTTGATGCTTTGCCTTTGACTTTGAAGGAAGTGTTGGGATTGTCGCGGGGTGGATAAGACGGGAAGTCTTCCTTGTTCTTTGCCGTCGACATCAATACTATATTTTGTGGATATGTAAGTGTCCGCGGTCTTACTGTAGGTCTACGGCAATCGAAGAATTCCGGCGGTTTAAGGAAACAAACACAGCGTACGCTTTGCCGGGAACGTCTGCGGTGTTTTGGGAGACAGCAACCCACCCGTTCAGGAGGTTTCGTCGGAGACTTGTACGATCGTGCAAGCGCAGCGCTTCAACCCCCCCCCCCCACCTCTCCCACGCACGTGCTCACGCCCCACGCCCCTCCCCATCCCCCCCACCCCCATCTCGAAGGAGTTCGCGTTGATGGCGGATGGCTGGCGGTCGAGCTACCTTGCCCGAAGGGGGCTCGGAGATGAGGCCACGGAGGCGGAGATGGAGGCGGAGTTTTGGAAGCTGGTGGGGCCGGACCCTCCAGAAGAAGACGTGAAGGTGCGTACGTTGGGTTAGCCCGGTGGAGAGGTAGTGCCTTGCTGCAGTGATGGTGGTGGTGGTGATGGTGGGCGGGGGGGGCTGCCGTGGTGGCGGTGGTGCTGGCAGAGGGGAGGGAGGGGTTGGTTTCCGTCGCGACGTGTCCAGCGGGGCCCGCCCTTCGTTTTTTTACATAGCGTGTTCTGCCTGCTGCGCTTACGGGCCCGGGCGGTTGTGGTGCGCAAGGGCTGGCACGGAGTTAGTTTGACTTACAGCGTTACGCTTCCTCTTGACAGGGCCGAACAGCCGTCTTTTATGCCCTCGATCTAAAAATTGCGCTCGCTACAGTACTGCTTGTCACTCTATTTGGAACTTTAGTGACCATTGCGATGATCACATCTGTATCATAACAGTCCTTACATGCTCGAACAAAGTTGTACCAAGTATTGGGATGTTGAAATTTGAAATGGCGAGTTGCAACATGGTCAAACCTTGTCGTCCGTACGGAATCCCCACGTGCCCTACCCCTTGACTGCCTCCGTGCTGCCCCAGGTGCTCTACGGCAGTGACCTTGACACCGGGGCGGTGGGCAGCGGGTTCCCCTGGACACGCGGGGCGGTGGCGGCGCCCGGGAAGCCGGCGGTTGAGCAGGTGATTTGGGCGGGGAGGTGTGCTTGACGTATTTTGTTGTTGGGGGGGGGGGAAGTATGTTGTTGGAGCGGGAGACTATTTTGTTGTTGGGGCGGGAGACTATTTTGTTGTTGGGGCGGGAGAGTATTTTGTTGTTGGGGCGGGAGAGTGTTTTGTTGTTGGGGCGGGCGAGTATTTTGTTGTTGGGGCAGGAAAATGGTTTCGTGATGTGGGAGGGGAGGTGTGCTCATGTACAGGCACGTCGTCGTCGTTTAGACCATTGACCTGTAATGCTGGGGACGGAGCGATATGCCGCGTTTTCGCCGGGCCCGGCTACGTTTCACAAGGGGGGGAACCAGAAGTAGTCATCGAAATTTTTACCCGCACTGCTGCCGGCGCTGGCGCTACCGGAGGCTCCCGCTTGAAATAAGCAGGACCACACGATGCTGACCATCGTCTATCTGGGCCGTGTTGCAGACTGAGCGTCGGAAGCCAAGGCGAGGTCCGGGGACCCGCGAATGGGACTACACAAGCTACGAGGTAGGGTTTCCGCGGCGGCGGGAGAGGCTCTGTCCTTCTTGAGGCAATTCGAAAGTCAGTCACGTTTTTGGTGCGAGCAGGCGTCGGCAGTAGCAGTTGAGGTACAGCTCAAGAGTCGCGTTCGGAGCTTCCTGCAGCAGTAAGCGGTCAGCAGCACCCAACAGGGGGTAAGCGATTGTGGCCACTTGGTGTAGGGGGGTCCACCCAGCGCCACCCCGCCGAATCATCCTGCAACCGGGGGAAATAATCCGCCGGTGTTTTTTGGTTGTGTTGCGATGCACGTGCGACGAATTTCTCCCTTCCAGCCATGCACGAAGTATACATGAAGTACAACGTATTATCGTAAGCACCTGATTGCCTGGAGACTTCTCCTCAATTTCCAGACTCATTTTCGTCGCCGACTCTTCGTTCCCCCCGGGGGGCCGAAACGCTTGGCTACCGCTCTTTCAGGGTCACTCCTATGAAGAAGACGCTTGGAACCTCAACTGTCTGCCAACCTCGGACGGTTCCTTGCTTCAGTTTCTGGGGACTCAGATCCAGGGGGTGATGGTGCCTTGGCTCTACGTGGGCATGGCCTTTAGGTGAGAGAGGGCGGCGTACATGCAACGATGCAAGGGTGGGTGGAGGACTTAAGGAAGGTAATGTTATTACGAAGAAAGACCGGGGAGGGGGCCACGCAGACTTTAGGCCAAAACCTAGCCAATTCTGTCCTTTATCCAGCATGTTTGCTTACTTGAGAATTGCATAGACTAGTGGGGTGGATGAAGACGCGCTTTGGGGGTTGGCTGTACAGTCGGAGTAGTTTCTCGAGCGCAGATATCAACGGCAGCTGTGCCACGGGCAGGAATTGCGAGAAGCAAGTTCGCCGCTGGCGGACAGGCAACGCCGCCAGCGAGGGCGGTTGCTTCGAGCAACCCTGCCCCGCCTTTTCGGGATGCAAGAGCGATTACTTTTTGCCAGCCTCAACACCGGCCCCCTCTTTTACTGGTGTGGTTCTGAGCTCCAGCCCACCGGTCCCTCGGGATACTGTGCGTAGCCGCAGCAAGGCAAGGTCTGGTGCTGAAGGCGCCCATCGCGCTCGCTAGGCGTTGATACGCGCCTGAGCAGCCGTCTTTCACCCAGACGGCCAGTAATAGCGATGCTGATTTTGTGTTTTTTGTGCTGTGTTGTTGTTATCGTCGTGGCTGTTGGTGGTGGTGGTAGTGGCGCTTTTGCTGTTTTGTTGTTCCATGCGATGCACAGCAGTAGTGTCGTTTTGCAAGTATTCACTCCCATGTAGAATGCCAAGAGACGGGTACCCTGCATGGCTGTTCGCCTTTGAAGCGAGCGGGCAGCTAGCTCGGCGTCCGTGAGCCCCAACCGAACCTCCTTCTCGAGAAATGAAGCTGATCAGGAAATAGAACAGGGAGGGGGTACGCAGACCCTATCCCTAACCCTAATCCAACTTCTCGATTGCATTCTGTACCCAGCATGTTTTGTTGAATCGATAAATCCTGCGAAGCATTCTACTGCCCAAACCACCTCACCTACGCTACCGGCCCTTCGCCTCTTCCATCGGCACATGCACGTTGCAGCGCCTTCTGCTGGCACAACGAGGACCACTACCTGTACTCGATCAACTACCTGCACGCGGGGTCTCCCAAGAGATGGTACGGGGTGCCGGGATCGATGGCCGAGAAGTTCGAGACTACCGTGCAGCTCATGTTTCCCGAGCTTTTCGAGGCGCATCCTGACCTGCTCATGCAGCTGGTAAGCCCAGTTGTAGTCTGTAAATATTACTGTTCGGGAGAGGGAGAGAGAGTGAGAGAGACAGAGAGAAAGAGAGACAGAGACACAGAGAGACAGACAAGACACACACACACAGAGAGAGTCAGAGAGACAGAGAGAGAGAGGACTGCCTACGCAAAGAAAGAAAGTTTATTACGAAAAATGACCACATGCCCCTAACCCTAATCCCCAACTTAGCCGATCTATGCTTTATCTAGTATGTTTGCTTACCTAGAAAAACCTGCGTACATAGACTACTGAGCAATTCTGAAGGCTCGTTGTGATGTTGTGATGCTCTGTGATGCTCTGTGATGCTCTGTGATGCTCTGTGATGCTCTGTGATGCTCTGTGATGCTCTGTGATGCTCTGTGATGTTGTGATGTTGTGATGGTCTGTGATGTTGTGATGGTGTGTGATGTTGTGATGTTGTGATGTTGTGATGGTCTGTGATGTCTGTGATCGGCAGGTGACGATGGCGCATCCCACGGAGGTGTCTAAGAGAGGGGTCCCCGTGTCTTCCACCACCCAGAGGGAGGGGGAGTTCGTGCTGACCTTCCCGCAGGTGCGTGTCGTCAATATATTGAGTCCCCAAAAACGAAAAGTAAAACTCTAAACCAGAACTGAAAAAAAAAAAACACACACACACACACACGTTTAACTGTTTTTTTTACTCTTTATCAAACAGCAAGGAAACACTGTTACACCCAGAAACCACACACGCACACGCACACGATTTGTCATTGTGCCCAGTTGCGCGTGCAGATAACACATCATCACACCAGGCTCCGGTTTTAGCGTGGTTAGCTGGATTGTGCGTTTGCGCTTTGGTACCGAAGCGGCAACAGCCTTAGCACACACAGAAAACACCTGAAGGCGGAGATATTCAGTTGCCCCTTGCAAGCAGGCAGCCCACGCTGTAGGAGTGAGGGGAAGCTGTCTAGTCATACCCACAGGGTAGACAGTGCGGGTACGAGATGCATTCGTCATCCTAGCTAGGGGCAGATAAGAATTGTCGGCGGAGAAACTCATTGTCATGTTTCTGCGCTGGGTGTGGGTGTGAGGAACATTTTCCCCATTTTTTCCCTGTTGTATCGATTTTTTGGGGGTTGAAACCCACGGCAAGTTCGGCAAGACTTTGTGCGGCAAGCGTCGATGGCAAAGGGGGGTCAGACTACGGCAGGGGCGCAGGCAGCACGCTGACGCAAGAGTCCATCGAGCAAGCCTGTCACGTTTCTTGCAGCACAGCTACAGGCACGCTGACCGATTCAACTCCCTCTGTCCTACTGGAGTTCCGCGCCGGCTCACCTCGGTTATCTCCCCGCCACTCCCCATGTGCCCTTGACGTCCTCCGTCTTGACGCTCTCCCTCTTGATGCCGTCGGCCACAGGCTTACCACGCCGGGTTCAACATGGGAACCAACTGCGCGGAGGCCGTAAATTTTGCTCCTCCCGACTGGATACCGTGGGGTGAGTGCCACAGCATTGCGGTAGTAAATAGTAGGTGCGTTCGCGCCACGATCACGGGCGAAATGGAGTAGGAGGTTGGTCGTGTCGTGTGTCCGGTTATATCTCTGTTCCTTCTGTCTGCTCTGTTGGCGGTGTGGGTGTGGGTGATCCTCGTCACTATGCGCCTCGTTGGGGGGGGGGGGGGTCACCGCAAAAGGCCAGGGGTGTGAGTTGAACTACTGTACGAACATCTCGCCCTCTCGCTCCCGATCCTGTCGTTGTTGCCCTTGCGCGCGCGCGTGCGCAGGCAACGCCGCCCAGGAGCGCTACCGCCTCCACAAGCGCAAGCCGGTGTTTTCGCACGAGGGCCTGGTGCTGTCCCTGGTGGACATCCTCGCCAAGAATGCCGGCGACGGAGTGCACGCCTCGGAGGAGCTGACGAGGTTCGCGCCTCTCGTCTCCTTTGGCATCTTGCGCATGACTCACGGCAAAAATTGTTCGAGGAACGCTCACTTGAAAGCACGTGCCCCGGTCTTGCTCATTGCCATCGTCGTAGTAGGTGTGCATCGCTATCAATCCTTTTCCCAAGGCCGTTAGTACCCGCTGTACCAGCTCAGTTTTTCTTGCGTTTGACAAGGTGACTACCCCGTTTCTCCCAGTATCCGGTGTTGTCCCGCAGGAACTCCGATCGGGGTTCACACGGAGGGTTTATCTGAAGTGCATGCTGATACGTTTACTCGAAGAAAGTTGAGCAATCCTCCACTCTCTATTTGGTGTTCCCACGAACATGCGCTATCTCCAGCACTGGATAGTCGTCGCGTTTTAACCGATGGCCTGCAACAAATGACGAAGGCGGGGCCTCGTCTTGGACGCCGGGAATTTTGTGTCCTGCGACAGACGAATCACGGCACCGAATTTCGTGATATGTTGCTTGCCATGGTGCTCACACGCGGATTCTCTTTTGTATGCCGCGTGTCAGAAGTGCAATCACGACATGGGTTTTTGTGACATGTCGCTATCATAACCGTCGTACTTCCGTCTTGAAGGGCGACAAACTGGTCGATCGACCCGTCCTTGGTTGAAGGCGTAATAGAAGAAATGATCCGCATCGTTTATTACCAAACGTTCAACCCCTTGCCACGAACGACGGTTGCACACCTCGTTGCGCCAGGTTCCTTAGGAACGAGCTTACGGTGCTGGCGACCCACCAGGAGGAGATGACAAAGCAGGCCCAACAAATGGGCTGCACACGTTTCGAGCCTATGGAGAAGGTGTGATTTTGCCGTCCCGAGCTTTGCTTCAAAAGGAAAACAATAACCTCGAGTCGTCTAGTTCGATCACAATGAGTTAGTGGAGAGAGAGAGATAACAAGAGGGAGGGAGAGAGAGAGAGAGAGAGAGAGAGAGAGAGAGAGAGAGAGAGGGCGTCTGTCTCAGCGGGGTTAACCCTCCTAGCACCCAGTCCCTCCGCAACAAAAAAATGTCGAAAAAATGTTTGTGAGCCATTGGTCGAGGGGCTACAGTCCCTCCAAAGAATCTGAGCTCCTTGCCAGACAAAGAGTGACTTGGCTTCAGTATTAAAAGTGTCCCCAAGTTTGTGGGGACACTTTTCATTGTGAAGCCAAGTCAGCAAATTTTTTCAGTACCAGGCGATGTACAATACAGTTTTACCATGTAGGGGGCACGCAGGTTGGGAGATGTGTACAGCAAGTCAGAGGCCCAGGAGAGGCATCACACAGCATATCACACAGCGCACCACCTCAGCCAAGCATATTAGACCAAGGGTTATCACGTGCGTTGCACACAGCGGAGCCTAGGGTGATTGCAGTGCGGCAAATAGGCATTTGAGTGTTGTGCCGCCATAGTGTGGGCTTCCACTATTACCAGGAGGGTTAAGCTAGAATATCCATTTTTTCATCATTCCTTGACCAACCCCTTCCTACGCCTCCGTCTGTTGAAACCCCCGCACTCAAGTTGGTCGAGCGCCTTCACGGGGGCCGCAAGGCAACGGCATCCACCGAAGCTACGGCAGCGGCAACATCGATAGTGAGGCGGAGCAGCTCCACCTGCGGAGACAAGGGCAACGGTTGCGCTGACGGCGAAGGCGCTAGTGGTGGCGGCGGCATTCTGGAAGGCCTAGCAACCGGCAGCGCGGTGCGAGGCCCCCAATGCAGCGTCTGCGACCAGTACTGCTTCCTCACGGCCGTCGTGTGCGACACGTGCGACAGCGGGGGGTTGGGGCGCGGCGCGCCCGCGCGCGCGAGCAGCGGCGGCGGCGGCGGCGGCAGCGGCGGCAGCCCGAGCGTCTACGGTGGAGCGGCGGCGGCTGCGAGAAGGCGGCACCAGCGGCGGCGGTTCGCGTGCGGGCGGCACATCGCGGAGCTGTGCGCGTGCCCGGCTTCGGAGTACACGTTCTACCAGCGCAAGGACGAGGCGCAGCTCCGGAGGTCGGCCAAGGATCTTACCTCGAGCGAGGAGTACACGGAGACGTGGGTGGAGGAGGCTAGGTTAGCGCTGGCGGCGGCGAAGAGCACCGGCGGCGGGATGGTGAACGGCTTCCGCCCGGTCAAGGGTGCCAAGGGCAGCGGAGGTAGTTCTCGTGAAGACGGAGCTTCCCAGTTGCCGAGAGAGAACGGAACCGGCGGCGGCGGCGGCGTCGGCAAGGTTAAGCTTGAGGCGCAGCCTTCTTCGGGCAAGGCCGACGGTGACTCGGTGCGGCCGCGGCCGGCGAACGGCACCGACTGCTCGTCGTCCAGCGACGGCGCGGCCGAGCGCGAAGAAGAAGAAACGGAGGACCTGCAGCTCAGCAACAGCAGCGGCAGCAGCATGTCCGTGGACGAGGACGAGGCCCCCCTGCCGTCCTCCCTACTGCCGGCGGGCTGGAACGAGCGCCCTTCGCTCAGTTACATCGGGGACTTGATCCGCGTCGGGGAAGAGCTGGGCGCGCCGGAGCAGACCCTGGAGAGTCTCCGCGAGATCGTGGACGCTTGCGCGGGCTGGGTGAAGACTATCGAGGGGATCCTGGGCCCCGACGGGACGGCCACCACCTCCGACACCTGTGCGGCGGCCGTCAGCTTGTTCGGCAGCGCGAAACGCGCGGCTGTGGCGGCGGCGGCGGCGGCGGCGGCCACCGGCGGCGGAGACGACGCCGACGGCGGGGGTAGGGGCGGCCGTAGTGGGGGCGGCGGGAGCCAACGGAACGGGGGGGTGCGGGGGGAGAACGGCGGCTCGACGACGGTGGTCAAGCGGAAGGAACAGGTGCCGTTCCACAAGGCGATCAAGCTGCTGAGCACGGAGGGGAAGCTGCCCGGGAGGCCCGTGGACACGACCGAGAGGCTCTGCGTTGCGATCATCGCCGCCTGCCGCCTGCGCCTGCAGGTTCGGTCGCTCCTCGGGCTGGGCGAAGACGAGGTGCGTTGCGTGCTGTGGTGTTGGTGGTGGTGTTGTTGGTGGTGGTGGTTTTGGCAGGGTCTCGTCGTGCCTTGTGTTGCTGTGTGGTGAGGCGTGGTGTGGCACTACGTGCCGGGGCTTGCTGCCCGTGTGTTTGCGCGTTGTTCGTTGCCGCTTGCCTTAATAACGTGTACCACTTCTTGTTCATTTCATGATTATTTTTTATTTTCCTAATATTTACCCAACCATCTGTACCTAAGAAAAGAGTCTAAGATAGATTAGCAATGAATCCATAGGGTCAGCGTTGGCTACCTGTATTTCCACGATTTCCCTAGCAGCACACAGCGATATCTCCCTATTGTTGTTGTTGTTGTTGTTTTTGTTGTTGTCTTCACATGGGTAAGCTTTTTCGTAGCCGCCTCGCCGCCGCGAGTTGCTTTTGTTGTTCCCCGCCTTATTGGACCTGACTTAACTCTTGAGCTCACCTCTGGTGCCTCCTAGTTGTTGGCCGGCCCGACACCCTCGTGGTTGGACCAGCCGCGAGCTATTCACATACTCCTGACGCGTCCCCCATCCTCCACTGCCTCGGAATACTCCCTCGCGTCCCGCAGCACACCACAGCTGCGAGGGCGATGTGCCTGACCATCCAGGAAGCCGGGCGGACCGCCTCTCCCGTCGAGCTCGCGTCGAGATCCGTCAGGCGGCACCCCGAGAACGGGACGGGCGGCGCCGGCGACGGCTCCGGCGAATCGAAAACCTCCGGCGGCGGGGCTACCGGGGGCCCGAGGGGAAGCTCCCCGTGCCGCGGACAGGGGGGGGGGTCGAACGGCTCCTCCGCGGCCCCTTGCTCGGGTGCCGACTCCGGCGCGGCCTCCGAGGCCCCGACGGCGACATCCTCGCGGCCGGGGTCGTCCCGCACCCGCACGCGCACCAACGTCTCGGCCCCGACGGGCACGCTGGCGGCGGAGCGCGGAACGTGGAAGCTGCAGCCGTGGAGGCTGTGGCCCGTGCACCAGCCGGCCGCCGCGGCGCTCGTGGAGCCCTGCGTCAGCTCCGTGGTGGCGGTGCCGGAGCTGGCGCTCCTGAGGAAGGCGCTGGCCGCGTTGGCGGACAGGACCGACAAGGCGCTGAGGATGATGGAGGGCGGAACGTCGTCCGCATCTGAGTCTTGCGGCGTGAAGAGGGGACGCGGCGGAGCCACCGTTGGTGTGGGCGGGGACTCCGCCGGCGACGGCGGTGGTGCTAGAGGCAGGTCTCGCGGGAGCGGCGGCGGCGGCGGCGGCGGCGGTGGCGGTAAGGTGAAGCCTTCTGGCGCCCCTGCCGCTGTAGCCGGTTCTTCAAGGGGCGGGGGTGGTGCCGGGGGAGGGGTTCTCCTGGGCGCCGCGCACAAGCGCAGGCGGCACGACGATAGTTGAAGGCGTTCACCTCTTGCGTGTTGTGTTGTTTCGAGGGGTTTTTCACTATCGGGAGGAGGCGCTAGCGTGTAGAACGGCCTGCTTTGTTAACGATGGGTTTGTCATGCCCCCCCGAGCCGAGAAGGCCGATCCTCTTTGAGAAGAGTAGCAGAGGGTTGAGAGTGTTCGTTTGTCGACATGGCGCGGTTTGGTCTACATTAGATTTTATTCCACGAGCAGCCGAGATAGTTGAGAGGTGGTAATCGGAGGGCGTATGGGGTGATGGCGATGAACATATAGACAACGGTTCTTTCCAGACTTGACATATATTTATTCCGCACTACTGCTGTTTTCCAAACGGGATCATGGCATCAACCCGTGCTTAAGGTTAGTGGCGTGCTGTTCAGCAATAATCGTATGGATTTGTCCGCGAGTATTTGTGTTTTTTGTCGGGGGGGTCGAACTTAATATGAAGCGACACCGATTGTTGTTGCGAGACTCGTGGCTTCCGTCTTCACGTAACCGACGGGAAGAACCCTTGTTCGGGTGTTCTTCAGGCAGGCGGCCCTGCATCATCCAGGCAAGCTGGGTGTCGTCGCATTCAGAGCTACTGCTGTATCACCATGCATATGGGGGGGGCCAGCTAGACGAGATTTTTATTCGGGGCACTACTCCATGGGTTTTATCTCTCCACGGAACAAGCGGAACGTCATCCGCAGACGCAGACGACGCTGCATCCGCACACGACGGGTCTACGCTAGTGTTTACTTACGCCCACAGGAGAGGGTCAGATGTATTTTTTTTTACCTCTGGAAGGTTGGGGGGGCGTGCGCCGGGTAGGGGGGGGGGGGGGGGAGAGGTTTCAGCATAAGGTAGACCTTTGTCTTTTTCCTTCTTATCGCGGAAGGACGAGGCCGAACGGGTTTGCAAGTAGTAGGCACGGCGGCGTGGAGAGGGAGGGGGTGATGGTTTATCACGGGGTCGCTATGATCAGAGCGCTGAATGCGCTTGCAGCTACAAGAGAGGGCGACGAGGTTCGCGACACGGCGAAACGACGTGTGACCTGGTCGATTTTGGGGCGAATTTGTTGATCTGTAGAGTCGCCTGGCTTACTGTAGGCTTCGTCTATGATATCTAGGATTGTGAAGTACTTCTTTTACGCGGAGATGTTTGGCGGGTTAACTGTCGGTTTTCATTCTTGAAGGTTGGCTTCAGTAAATATGGTTGTCTTTGCTGGCTTTCAAATGTTCTCATTAAAACATGGCGTGCGTGTGTTGGTACGAGGATGCGGGACACACGGGGTAAACGTTTTTTTTTTTTCTGTAATAACAAAGGCAGACGTAACAGGAGATGATTCGTCGGGCGGGAGCCGATTTGGTGAAATCCGGCGTTGCTTTTATTTTTTGCTCTCGTTCTTCAGCGTGATATGCTGTAGGATCCCCCCCCCCCCCCCCCCCGGTTGTTGGGTCCTGACCACCTGGCATCCCAAGTTTAAACTAAATCGGAATGGATGTTATTCCAATACTGAAGGGTGACTCATGCGGTTGAACTACGAACGACGGAAGAATCCGATCAAAAATGGGGAAATCGAATTGCTTCTTTTTTTTTCGACGTGCTCCTTCCTAAAACACGGTGCCGTACTGTAGTCTGGCACGTGTTTTTTCGCGCAAATTGACTTATTATTTGTAAGACGTTTGGTTTGTACTGCTATGTGATGCGGTTGTGAGTCGGTCTGGTGTACGTATGGGATGGGTGGTTTGTGTGTTGATGTGTCGGATAATAAGCAGAGAAAAAGCGGCGCGCTTTTGGGGGCCGCGATATGCGTGAGGGCGAGGAAATAACTTCGTGGGGGCGGGGGGCGGCGAGAGAGAGACGAGTTTGAGATTTTCCGCGCGATGACTGACGCAAAGAAAAAACGGGTGTAAGCGACAGACCACTCTGAGCGGCTACCATTTTGGTGCAATTTGTACCTGACGGTATGTACCAGACATGGGACGTGAAATGATTTTTTCTTTCCTGTGATCTTTCGACATGGAAGCGGTGAATCGCGGTAAACCACGCCACCGCAACGTTATATTTGTATATTTGTCGGTAAACTAGTAAAAGCAGTGGCGCGGGATAGAATGGGCCGGTAGATGCGAAGACAACATCTGTCTCCAGCCGCAACGCACCAAACGGTTCGTAGCACCAGCGCAGGACCACCCTCAGTGGTGCATTGCTAACGTAACTATACTGCTGGACAACATTCGTGAGGTTCGGAACGATTTGATCACTTTTTTTCTTCTTTCAACCACATCGCTCCTCGGTCGCAGGTATTGACTCGTAGACAAGTTCTACTCAAGAAACGAGCCCTCCCCCCCCCCCCAAATACACGCACTGCACCAATCACACCGAATATACGGCGTCTAGGTATCAGCCGCGTGATACGCGTTGCCATCTACGGCAAACCATCAGGACAACTCAGAACAGAAGTCCATCAATCAACATAGGTTCGGCTGCGCCTTCCTTTCGCCCCCTTCTCTCGATCCGGGGAATGGGCAAAACACGTCAAGGGGGTTGGGGAAGGTTTGGCCGACAAACCTGTGATATTGAGTTCACGATACAACAACGGCTTGCATACCTGTATCAAGCTTGGACAGTCTGGCGGTGCTACAAGGACGGTCAGGATCAGTGGGTGCTATCGTTTCGGGAAGGGAACAAAATCGACGACAGCCAGCAGCGACACACTAGAGCGTCTGCTTACCGCTGGGTGCGTGGTTTTACCGGCGCAGCGGTGAACACAGTGCACCGTACAACAAACACCACGGGAGGGAACCAAAAAACAAGAATTTTCCGACTGGTCGGTCTCTTCATGGTGGGGAAGCGGGATAACCACCGAGTACAGTGGTAGAGAGGACAGCTTGTAACATCAAACTAGTTTTCTTCTTGAAGAACAACGCCTCTCCGCTCGTGCACTTGTAAATCGTGGGCGCCAAGCACTCCAGTTCACGTCACATGAGCGTCTATGTGGGACCGTGGAAAAGCTTCATGAACGTCAACAAGTGGCAGCAGCAACGGGAACAGCAACACCACAGCCAACAACTACAACAACAACAACAACAACAACAACAACAACGACAACAACAACACCTGTTCATGTCCAGAGCGGGCTCCAGTCTTGACTCTCACGAACATCAACACTAACACTACCGCCACAAGCACAATCACGACCACAACCGCCTGTTATCATGGCTCAAAAGGGTCCAGGTTACAATTACACTCGTCGAACACGAACACCAGCCCTTCTCCCTCTATTGCTCCACCCTCCAACTTCAGCTTCCACTTCTGCCGTGTCCTATTCTTCAAGAACTTGCCAACGTAGTTAGCGGTCACAATCACATCCGGCACCGTAGAGTCCGCCTCTTCCTTTCGCCCAACCCCCTCCTCAACAGAAGATGATGCCTCCTTGGGTTTGTCAGCTCCTGCCTCGCTCCCGCAACCTTCTCCATCACCGCCGCCGCCGCCGCCGCCATCGACTTGATTCCCGTCATCCCCTCTAATTGTGCTACTCTGTACACCGTGACCCGAAATTTTTTTCGGCCCAAGGTCAAACTCATCCGCCCCCCGCTCTTCGTCTCTTGCGGGTTCATCCCCAATAGCCGTGGCTGGCTGTCGACCGTCGGCCTGTGCTGGTTGCCCTTGTCCTGCTGGTGCTGCCTCGGCACACTCGTCCGTTGTCGTGACCTGCTTCTCTCGTCCCTCAACTTGCGAGGAAGGAGTAGGAGCAGCAGCAGTAGCAGCAGCAGCAGCAGCAGCAGCAGTACCAATGGGAGCAGCAGAGTTGGTGGCGAAGCCAGAGGAGGACGGTGGTGCCTGCTCGAGACGGGGGCCGTTCGTTGCCTCCTTCTCCCGCGGTGGCTCTGCACCAACACCTCCCTGTGCTACCGCTTGCCCCTGAACTACTGCCGCGGTTTTCTCGCCCCCACCAAGCTCGCCGGCGCCACTGTTTGGTCTCGCTCCTGCCCCCGCGGCCAGTGACACTCTCCCATCTGCTCCCTGCGTAGGAGCAGCAGCAACGCGTCTTCTTTCCACTGTGGGATCGTTCTCAGCCGTCGCGGCCGTATTGGCGCGGCACCTATTGACCCCGGCGGAGGCAACGGCGTTGGTGCTACCGACGCGGTGCTTTTTATTCGCTGCAACGGCCTTTAGCACGAACTTCCTCTTGGGCGTGCGCGTTGCTGTTGCTGCGTCTGCCGTTGCGACGCTTTGCTCGTTTCTACGAGGCAGACTTGCCGTCTGCGGCCAAGCACCAGTAGAACGCCGCAGGTCTGATGACGCTGCGCTACGCCGCGAGGGCCGTGTATCCGCTGGTGCAACCGTCAAAATCCTGTGCATCACCTCCGCCTCTGATGGTAGAGGGCGCTTGTACATGTCGCGCCATGCCTGATTAGTTGAGCAAGAAATATCCGAACAGGATGGGTAGGGGGCACGCGGTTTGGGCACCAGGGCGGGAGGGACAAGAAGCGTTACTTCCACCCGGGCGCTGACACCGATCACGCACCGCCTTCAGTGTGAAGAAGCTCAGGTTGGGGAAGGATCGCGATGCCCACCAGTGTGTGTCAACTTTTTATCGAAAACACGTTCGTCTACCGCTTCAAAAAGGGAGGGGGGGGGACAAGGATAGGGGTGGAGGAAAGAGGTGCTGTGATGCCATCCGTGTGCATGGAACAGCCTTGTACAACGCGCATCACGCGGGGCTCGTTCAAGTCTCACCTCGTCTACCTTGCCGGCTAGGGCGGTGGCGGCAGCACGATCTCCCCCGGCCGCGGCTAATCGTGTCTCGAGCCGAGCAGTAACCGTTTCCACCACCTGTTACATGATGCGGTTGGGCTTACTATGTTTATATTTAATAGTATTAAGGGGGTGTCTATCAATAGACGAACGCAGCGCCCCTGTTGGATCGATCATGTGGCGGGACAACCATGTTGCCTGCTACTCGAACCGCAAGAGTTCGTGAGGTCTGAGGTCTATATAGCATACAGCAGTAGGTAGAGAATCGTGCTAATAGCACAGGTAGCGGCTTGGGGTGCAACATACAAACAAGCGCACCTTGGCGAAGGCTCTCGACCCATGCCCGTAAGGCCCGCTCGTGAGCAATGTCTCCTCTCCTTGTCTCGACTTGGAGCGAACGGGTGCCTTCGACTTCTTCCGCTTTTTTTCCCTGGAAATTTCAAAGCCATCCATGATTTCGGCGCGCGCCTACAAAAGCCGCAATCGTTGCCTCAATTCAGGGCAGAAGGACGTCCAACAACAGGGTGGCCAACGTGCATAACGTTCTCTATCCTCTGTACTACAGCAGTAGTCCTCTGGCTCTGAGCGGCAACGTACAGTGGGGGATACGCAGATGGTACACGGAGTTGCAATGGTTCGCGGGGCGACAAGGCGTAGAACCCCTCTTTTCGTCCAAGGCTGCAGGCTGCAGGTCAAGGCACGAACACCGCCAGCAGCAGCACAGCAGTGGAGCGCTCAGGCGCGAACCTCTTTCTATCCACCCCATCTCACGCACACGCTTCACCTCCCTGTTCGGCCCGAGGCCGACCAACGCGCGACAAAGACGGACAAACGCGCCGATACGGCGGTGCTGCTGCGCTACATACTGCCTCGGTGGGATCTCTCCTCAAACTGACCCCACCGGTGTCGGTTGTTAGCGCTCCTGCTACCCCGTGGCGTCTGAGGAAGTGGCGGTGTGTCGTCTTTACGTCCTGGGGCCAACCTTGTTGCCGAGAGAGCCTTGCCTGCAGCGGCAGCAGGCGCAGCAGACATCTGCTCGTTTGCTGCGCAGGTCGATACGAAAGATCACGATCTGAATCCTACCAAAATACCGAGGAGGCTTGGCTGCCCAAGTCTGGTGAGGAGGCTGCCGCATCGGCTTGCGCATAGTACTCGCACTCGCCGAGTGACCATCATGGCGGCGGCGGTAGCAACAAATATCGCGAGCGGGCAAGGGCCGGCGTACGTCCTCTGCGCCCTTCCGTACCGCACCGATGCGGAGCGGGAGGACTGGGGGCTAGACACGGCCCTGGCGATCGTGGAGGAAGCGGTCGAGGCCTTCGATCCACAGAGGATGCAAGCGCGGCCAGCGAGAACCAGCTGGCCCCCGGAGCTGCAGGACAAGGCTAAGGTACGCTGGTGGTGAAGCTTGTGGTGGCGTGCGATAGTATTGCACTCGTTGAATGTACGATAACTTGGCGACGCTTGAATCGCCCATAAGCTCTGACGGTGAGATCGCACACTAAGTCGGGTCGTACGCGCCATGTGATGGGGATTTCAACAGGTGGAAAGCTTGCCCTGCTTGAGCGATACCCGTGTGTGTTTGTCATGATATTTGTGTCAAGATATAAATGTCCCTGAATATCAAGGCCTGAGCTATTTAGCATTCGTCTTGAGGGCCCGTGACCAGAGAACCTTATGGCTGACGCATGTGTGACGCTCATCCCCGCTGATCAATTTCTCTCGCGACGCGCCGGCACCACCTCCCTCGCTCTCTTGCGCGACACCCACGCAGGCGTTGGATACAATCGAGCTGATGCGATCCGCCTACTTCGCTAGAGGATCCAGCAGCCTGCCCGACGTCAGCGAGCCGGTGCCCAAGATAGAGGATAACTTTTACATGTGGCTCTCCCTCAGGAAGCAGCAGTGGAGAAAACACAGGAGAGACAAGAGGGTCGGCCGGAAGCTCACCCCAGAGGAAGACTTCCCAAGGTGACGCCGGTTTTCTTGGGGATGAATACCGATGTTGTAGCAACGTAGCAACGCTTTTTGGGGGATACAGGAGGAGGTTTTATGTTACCCCGATCGCCCGTTTTCATCGTCCCACATGTTGGCCTAGTACTTAGTCGCTGTTCGCAGATTGGCTGGGAAAAGAAACACGGAAGAAAAGAAAGTAGAATGCTGTTCGGGGGCTTTGCCAGAACTGCTGTATTTCAGTCTTGCAGCGCCACCCCCCGAAGATACCTCATACGATACACGAAGCTATGAAAGTACAAGTGCGATTGGAGCAATGTGGCGCGAAAGGTGTTTTTCACACCTTGACCAAAGCCTGTCGATATTGCGGATGAAGACATGGCCACAATATCTCCTGCCCCCCCCCCTCCCCCGCTGTGTGATAGCTAACCACCCCTCGACAAGAAAATAACACGACCGAAAATGCAGTATACTTATTTTGTGAGCTTTGGTGACCCTTGTTTTTTTATCGCCCCCCCTAACTAGATCCCCCACTCGGTGTTTGCCATCGGGATTGGGTTTTCGTCGCTTGGCAACGACGTTGTAAAACAAGCCAATTCACTTCGTGAACTCGGCAACCAGGTTACCGTTTTTTTTTTACCTCGGTTTTTTTTTTGGCGGTAACCATGATGGTGGTCGAGTAGATCATGTTGTGCGGGGTCGAGAAACCTCACTCCGCGCAACGGGGGATGATCGCACCACGTTGTGTTAAATGGTCAAGCTTCCTCGAGGCAGTTACACAGTGCTTACAACTGTCTCTGGAAGTGAAAGCACCAGAAAATAAATTAAGTTATACGTAGCTGTCATCCGTACGCAAGGAAGTAAGCACAAGATGCCGAACACCCTTAGCAGGATGCAGCTCACCCTTCATGCGACTCGCCAAATACCTCACGGCACTTCGCGCTTGGTGATGTGAGAGCCTGGTCCGTTGAGAACCCGGCGTGCTCCGTCCCGGCTTTGTAGGGATGCGAGGTCAATGGTCAAACGACTACGGCATGCACGACTATGAGTACACCCCTTAACGAGGTACATGTAACGACTACGGCATACACGGCTATGAGTATCCCCCGCCCCCTTACCTCTTGCTTGAGCCAAGAATGTGTGTTTTTCGTATGCGTACGTTTTGTGACACAGCGGTATTCCGGGTTGGTTGCTTTACGCTCCACGCGATGGCCTTGGCATTACGACCGTCCCGAACCCGCTGTGACGTTGGACACTCTATTGCCCGCTGCTCACGTTCCGTGCGTATAAAGATGGCTGCAAGAGCGCAAGTGGCACTGGAAGTCGAGCAAGATGGAGCGCGAGTCCCTCAACACCCCTCGGTTGGAGGAGGACTTTTACACGTGGTTGTCGGAGCGGAAGAAGGTCTGGCGCCTCCAGAGGCTCGCCCGCAAGCACGGTGGCCGCGGGCTCGCGTCGAACAGCAGCAGCGGGTTTACCCGAGACGGCGTGGCGGAGCTGCCGGACAACAACTACCAGCACCATCTTCAGCGGCAGAAGCAGCAGAAGCAGAAGCAGCAGCAACAGAAGCCAAAGCAGCAAGGACAACAGCCGCAGCCGCAGCCGCAGCCGCAGCCGCAGCCGCAGCCGCAGCAGCAGCCGCAACCGCAGCAGCCGCAGCAGCAGCAGCAGCAGCAACAGCAACAGCAGCAGCAGCAACAACCACAGCAGTATTACCACCACCAACAGCAACAGCAGCAACAGCAGCAACAGCAGCGGCAGCAGCAGCATCACCACCAACCACAGCAGCATCACCACCAACTACAGCAGCAGCAACAGCAACAGCAGCAGCAACAGCAACAGCAGCAGCAACAACAACAGCAGCAGATGATGATGAGGGGGGTAGGGTGATGGGGCTTAGGCAATGGACAGGGGGATTTGTCCGTAGCGTTAGGGTTTGACGCGGAGGCGAAGGATCATAGGTACACGAGATACATCCTGAGTCCGGTCGGCTTGCATCCCCGTTCCCCTTGTTTGAAGCACCCTCGAAACGACCTGTTTTGATACCTGTTTAGAGACTTGACATTGTTCTGTTTTGTTCGGGGAGGGGTCATTTTTTGATGACTTTCGCTCTTTCGGCCTAGATGGCTGTGTTAGTGTCAGTTGTCGTCGTGCTCAGCAATGTACAGGCGGATGACCTTGTTTTTTTTTTGGTCGTTCGTGTTTATTTTGTTTTTGCCCCTTCGTATCGTTGTGGTAGTGTTTCTGTGTGTTTGGTGAGAGATTTGTATCGTGCTGTTGATGAGGTGCACCAAGTCACGTGCCCATAGTGTTTAGTCTCAAGGGAGCATACGTTTGAATGTTGAAGTCGAGGATGCCGGCGAAATTGGGAGCTGTGATTCTTTTCGCACAACGGCATGAGCTCAGTGGCACCCCACCAACGATATTGATTCCATCATAATTGGATGTTAATGCATCTCGGATGCTCATCGCTTCGCTACGCGAAAAAAACGGAGAGAGATGGAGCTTGTGCCATCGCACCGCCTTGCTGCTCGTCATCGAAGCGCCTTGTTGGCGAGTTTTCAAGCTCATGCCGCGCAGGTCGTGTCTTCTCCGCCAGGACAACCTGGCACCGAGCCTTCAACACAAACAAACGCTCCATGCGGAAGGACAGAGCAATTAACTACAACATGTGCGTCACCGCTTGAGAACTTTGCGGCCAAGAACTTGAGGGCTCAACTTTCCCCTCTACAACAAAGTAGAAGAACTTGCAGCCAGCAGGGTTCCCTCTCAACACTCACTGCTGTAAAGACTTTGTTCACTCGAACGGGCATTTAGTCTTCCTTGTGATCTTATGTACGTTTTCTAAGAAAGTGATGCTCACGCAACACAGAAACCCGTGAATTTTCGTTTTCTATTGGTTGTCCACGAAGGAAGTAGGAAGCACGAGCCCCGGGGGCAAGAATAGAGGTTCTCGAGTGATGGCGCCACCTGCACCTTCGCCTTGCACCAACAAACATTACAAACAGCAGGGGGACGGGAGTACCGTTGCCGCCCCCCCCCGTGGGCCTCTGGGCGACCGACCCATCACCGTTCCGCCTTTCGCTGCGCAGCGACCGCAACAAGGTAGGATCGTAGTTATGTTCTCTCGCTTGTACATCTTTCTGTCAGACGCTTCGCACGAGAAGCCGTTCGCACGAGAACCCGTTCGTTGACCCCACACGGCTTGGAGCAGCTCCGCAACATGTCGTGCATGGCCTGCTGCCACTCTTAGGGGGAAAACAGGCGAACTCTGGGCTTCGGTGGTTGGTTGCGTTGTGTCTCTCCCACCTGAGCCCCCTTGGTGATGTTGGATTCAACCAAGCTTTGTACTCAAGTATGTAACGACAGCAAGAGCAATTTTGGAGGGGCGCGACAAAATGCGCCAGTCAGCCGCATGTCAACGGCAGCACGCAACACGTTTCTTTCTAACCGATCAAAGGGCTGCAAGATATTAGTACCCATAGGTTTCGCTCCGAGAAGTCACTGTCGAAGGGTTTTAGTAACAAAACGTCGTTGAAACCATAGAAATTTCCAAATTTCACCGTCATTTGCGCTCCTGCGCACCTGCAGCCCTCCCAAGAGAAAAAGCACAATTGATCATGCCACTCACAAAACAAAAGAAACACCACTGCTCGTCTCCTCTATGCCCTTCAGTCCCTGCCTCAAATGTCAAAGGCGAACCGCGCATTCCAACCGCTATCCGTCGTACGTGTTACAAACTCAGATTGGATCTGTAAATAAATCCCTTGGAAGAACACCATACGCGTTGGCAAATGGGCGATGCTCTTCCAGCCGGCATCACTGAACCTGCAACGTCAGGAATGGACCATGCCCCAGATCCAGTGCCGAACAGGCGTCACTGCCACACACAAAACACAGTTTGTCACACTTCCTTGAGTCCTGTCACAGGGTAGTAAGTACCTTTCTGTGATGTTGATCACCTACGTGTTAGTGGTACATATTCTACAAACAAAAAACTGTCGCGGTCTCATGGCGTCGCCAGTTGGGCGCAAGGCTCGACCTCGCCAACACATGCATGAACCTGCTCGACACCGATCGTCTTCTCTTCGATGCAGCATTTCCACGGGCACCGAACATCAAAACCATAACAGTACATGTGCTACTTGGTGCTGCAAGCAACGACCACAGCAAAGCTTGTGAGTGGAAGAAGGCTATTGTTAGGCTGAGCTTGATTCAAACGTCTGAGCTTGATTCAAACGTCTGAGCTTGATTCAAACGTCTGAGCTTGATTCAAACGTCTGTCAAATTCGATCCACCCTTTGCCAGTCTAGTAAGCCAACCGATCCGCTTAGCTACTGATTCTAGGGTTGCACCGACTAATCATTGCGCCGGACAGGTATCGTTTGGAAGCGTCTGGTCCATCCTTGCCAACCTAGCCAAGCTCCAAGCACGCTTGGTCACCCCCTTAGCCGACGACACCAAAACAAAATTCGAACTGACATAAGTAGTCTTCTTATCGTTTGAGGAAATTTGGCCCGCTCGGCATGTGCCGTTTCGCCATGAATCCCCACCCAATACTATACTATCACCCGTCAGCATGTCGATAAAATACCTGGCATCACTACGTCAGTGTTCAGAAATTAAAACAGACCCCAAGTATCTATTAATAGATTAATAGCCGTTCTCCACCTCACTTGTCAAGACTTGAAAAGCATCCCTTTCGACTGCTGTGGCCATATCTCGAACGGGAAGTCTTTATTTGATTGCATGTATTGTAGGTTTTCTGAACAAACAAAAAGCGACTCGCGGGTAGACGAGACTCCGGAGCGGTCAGCAGCCCTCTTATCGCTCCACCAGTTGGAAGGCATGGCCCCTCTCGCGCGCGTGGTCGTTGCTGCCGCCGCTGTGGCACATGCCGCAGAGATCGTAACCGAAGCATTCGCTGCAGACGTACACGTTTCCCACCACCACCTTGTCGCACCCATCGCTGCATAGTTTGGACAGGGGGGGGGTACTCTCTGTTTTGCATGCCTCAGCAGTTAGACCAGTGACCACGCGTCCTCGAGAGGGCGGAGTTTGGAGGGGCGGGTGACAAAAAATAATTACGGGTCGTTGGTGTATCCGGCATGCTTCCAGCGGTCGAGCGCGAGAGACACATCCGGCGCAGCAGGACCAGGGCGAGGAAACAACAAGTGTGCATAAATAGTGCGCAAAGCGTGGGAAAGGCGGGGAAAGAAACAAAACCGGTTGGTTGGCATGTTACCACGGTCGTAACGTACGGCACAAACACGGCGTGGACCAAGGGGCCAAGCTACTCTTCTTGCAGACGACGTCGTTTCGCTGCGGGATGAGCGCTTTCGTCTGCAAAACACGGTGAACAACAACAACAACAACAACAACAACAACAGCTGGGGGGTTCGCGAACGCCGAAAATCAGGTTCTCCGGAGACGCGACGGGCACGGCAGGGAACGATACTCTCGCTGGCAGAGGCACGTCTAGACGACTAGCAACATTGCAAGCCGCTGTCGTTCTGCTCCACGACTCATCTCCGTGTTCTCACCATGTAATAACCTCCTCGAAGTCGTTGTCCTTGTCGTTGGCGTTGTCGTTGCCAGCCTCGCAGCCCCCGCCAAGAGCTGTCCACGCCGCGCTCATGCCACCGGTCCCATTAACCCTTGACGAAGGAAACGTGTAGCTGTTTGGCGGGACGAACGTCGGGGGGGGGAGGGATGGGGGGTGATGCGGTGAGTCCCCTTCCTCCCCCTTGACACCTTCCGGAGGCGTTGTGCCCCC